GAGTTTTTTTACTTTTTGGTGCATACTTCACGTATTTGCTACTTTTATGAAGCTTATGTTTTTACGGTGGGTTTATTTCAGGTTATTTGGTGTACTTTTAGCCAGTACGTCCAATTCAAAATGGGTATCTTTAGCATATTATAGAGCATTTTTTACATTACATAAATTAGATAAGATTAGATTTAGAATAATAATTTAGATTACAGGATAATCCATTCGTAAGATCAATAGGCTTCAAGATACCTGCTTCATATTTTGCGAGACTAGAATTAGTGGCAGCGATTGCATATGATATTTGCGAGCTATAAAGGGTAAGTGAAAATTGAAGCGTAAACATCGAGATGAGCATCTGCAGATTTTTTTGCCATGCAATTGTAAAGTACGAAGTTCCGACTTCTTAACTAAGATTTTTCTTATGTTATGAATTCGGTATTGTTCTGCTGTCCAGAGATTGTTCAATTGACCTTAACTCCAGATACCTTGTAATAAAACAATTTAAACCAATTGGCTAGTTTCAACTACAACTATTCCATAAATTACAGACTTCTGGCTTCCCAATGAGCAAGCACTACAAAGAAGATTTGGGCGGTTAAACTATTCTGAAAACAGTGAAGCATGTTTCGAAAACGCAGAATCCAAATATGCTACAAAATACAAGCAAACTTAGTATGAGGACGTTATTCGATGTTTCTTTCTCGCTTTCCTTTTCCCCTCCAGTCACTCATTGATTAAAGAATGGTGCAGTGAATAGGAAGCTTTCGTATCAAAGAAAAACATACAAAACATATTAAAAGAATTTTGCTAACAATTTTTTTGAACCTCATCAAAAGTGTCGTGTAAGTAGCAAATAACTTTTATCAACGGTTGAAGCACTACGACATATTTTGGCTGTCAAAATATCAGAACATAGTAATACTGATCATAGCTTACACTTCCTAGAATTGGATTGTAGTTAAATTAGAAATTTCATGCATTCTATGTAAATTAAATACTCAGATTATCGTCTTCGGTTGGCATCTGCTGTTTGTATTGATTAATCATTTGTTCATGCTTTCTTTTCCTTTCACCAGATCCCAATTGTCGTTTATGTCTTCTACTTTTCAAATGTATTTCCCAGCTTTCTTCTCCGACAGCTATTAAATTCTTTCCTTGCTTATCTTTGCACACAGTGCATTCGTAATGTTTCCAATTCTTTTCTGAACCCAACTTTTTATTGCTATTGAAGTTGTCAAGAAAGCTATTAGTAGGGAATATATCTTGTAAATGTGCTGGAGCTTGTGGATGCATGACAGAAGTAGGTCCAGTTGTTAAGAATTGACTTGCAATATTCAAGCCTACTTCTCGAACCTTTTCATTCCAGGAACTTAAGTCCGTTGCATCTAGTAAATACAATTTTCCTCCATATTTGAAATTAAATCTGGTTTCCTTGTTGAGCTCAACTGCCAATAATTTCTTTATCCATTTAACTTGATACTTCGCATATTGTCTTGTTCTGATTTTCATTCTATCAACTCCCTCATTGAACAATCGAGATGTTTCTTGTTTATTCAGACTTCCGGCAGATTCTAACCAGGGCAAAAACTCCTTAAAACCTATAACTTGCCATATTCCAGAAGTGCAATCGGGTAATAGTACTTGTGACTTATAAACGTCATATAATTCGTTTATTTCATTTAGTGCTCCAAGTTCCATCATCCTGTCAACTCGTTTATCCAATCTATCTTTTAAAATATCCGGATCAGAATATACCCAGAAGAGTAGAGTATTATATTTCAACGAAGTGTCTTCTAATTCGTCCAATTTCTGTTCATGGTAAATTTCAGATGGCTTCTGTCCTGTTGTTATATATATTTCTAAAGCTCTTCTCAATTTTCTCTTATCTTCGGGGTGAAACTTTTCAGCTATTATGGGGTCAATTTGCCGTAACTTGTTAAATATTTCATCCACAGGTCCATCAAGAAGTTCAATGTCTTCTTTAGTCAATTCTTTTGTTAACTTTGAACTAGTAGAGCTTTCACCCACGGTCTTATTTTTAAATAACAAGTTCTGTAAGTAATAATGTGTACCACCAATAATTATTGGTATTTTACCTCTATTATGTATGTCTTCAATAGCATTATTGGCCTCTTTTGAAAATCGATGAATAAAGTATTCTTCGTCCCAATTAACATGGTCCATAACATGATGAGTTATACCTTCTCTTTCTTCAACTGGATGTTTATTCGTTATTAAGTCAAGTCTTTTATATACTTGCATCGAATCTGCATTTATAATTTCGCCGTTAATTGCTTTGGCAAGTTCAATACTAAACTGTACGATAGTTAGTATTTCCAAATGTCATTTTCTCAATTAAGTTGTTATACTTACTTGTGATTTACCAACTCCAGTGGTCCCTACTATCGTAACTATATTTTTCTTGGGTGCTGTCATCATTAGATTTTTAAAGTACCTGAGATATCGTATTATCATCTATATTAGTATCATCTGTTGTATTACCTGATGGTTCCAGATTAAAAAAAAAAAAAAAAAAATTATGAGTGCGTATTTAACTACTTCAAAATTGTATATAAACTATCCAAACTTTATACCCTGGTTCGGGTTCCATGTACCACCCATGGATTGGGGAAGAAAATTAGGGGTCAGTTGTTGTGGGTCTATTGATTCTATTGGTACTTCTTGATTATTCAAAAACAGTTCAAGTTCTCTTCCTTCTACTCTGCGGTGATATACATATTCATCACATTCCTTTAAGACACTATTACTTTTGATAATGAAATCGCTGTAGAATTTTGATCCCTCATTTAGATTCGATATTAATTCCAAATATTTAGTATAGACATTTTCTAAAGTTTGTAGTACTTCTTGTCTCTTACATTGCGATTCATTATTCGTGTGTTGATATTCAGATTCAAATTCCTGATTCAAATCGTCAATATTTCCTTCCAATGCAATTTGTGCATGTTTCAGATCTTCCAAAAATCTAAGGTCACTGTTGAACATTGTGATATGCTTTTCATAGACATCTTCGAATGATCTTTCATCTATTGTTGCATTTTCCTCGTAAAGTTTGCGTTGCTTCTTTTTAAAACTATCAATTATACTCGGGAGAATATTATTATTTCTTGCCTTTATTTCTATCCTGGTCAAAAATTGCTTTCTTTGATTCTCTATCCTACTAACTTCATTTATCAACTCCCTTAGTTTGATAATAATTTCATTGATTTTGGTGTCTAACTTGACGTAAGTTGAATTGGGGATGAACTGTATTAACTCCTTATAACCACCACAATACAACTGCAAATATGGTTCAATCTCATGATACTGAGAAATGATAAACTGGTCGCCCTCTTTAGCTTGATCTAAATATTGTTCCATTTTGCTTATTTTATTGATAAATTCGGACGACGCTTCACTCGATTTCGGTCTTGCCCATCGTTGAGAACCTTGTCTTTCTCTCATAATATCATCTTCATCGGCTTCAATTTTTAATCTTTCTTGACACCCTTCTAAAATATGTCTACTTTCCAACGTCAATTTTGTAATTTCATTTAATGAATCCTCAATAAGTTTTGTTCCACCATAAGATATTATTTCTTGCGAATGTTGTATAATAGATTCGGGTAAATTCTCTGGCTTTTGAATAGTATCAATTGACGCTGGTAGATTCCGTTCAGTTATGAATTTGTACATCATTTTATTTAATGATTGAATTGGATCAATAAACAGATCCCTAATAAATGAATCTTGTCTCTCACGATATGCTTGGCCCACTTGAACGATAAGGTAAGGTAATAACTCTTTAAACAATATACTACTGTCATCAGATGAATCAACTGCTGGTGGTAAAATAGGTTTCACTAGAGATGCTCCGGGAATTGGAGGTAAATCATTCTCTTTAGGTACAGGTTTCAAATAGACTAAATCATTGTCCTTCTCAGCGACCCTTAAGGTGCTCTTAATAGTTTCAGTTAAGCCTTGTAAATCTTCAATAACGAAATCATTCACATATTTCTTCTTTTTCAACGCAGAATTACAGCTGCTAAGAGCTAGTTGTAAGTTCGCAACTTGTTCTCCGTATTTAAAGCCTTCGTGATTGAGAATAGATACTCTATAATGTGCTGCAGCTTTGAAGTGAAATTGTTTGACTATTACATGATTTATCCATTCTAACTTGATGAATTCAGATGAGTTGCCATATTTGGCTGCAGTAGAATAATATTCTGAGGTTTGAATTGATAATCTAGCTATGACTGAATCCTTCATTCCTGATGCAAGTGACTTTTGCCATATAGTTTCCTGTGCTTGGGCTATCATCAAACTTTTCAAGAATTGCAAGGTTTCAGGCTGTAAGTCTCTAGGAATACGAACCATTCCTGTTTCTTTTTCATTCTCTTTTTGTATTTGTAAAATCATGCTATCAAAACAACCAGCCGCATCTTGTAAATATGAACAGGATTTTTTCAATCCTTCATCGCTATACCTTGATTCCATTAACGCAGCCTGTGAGAAATAAGATCCCAATTGATATAAAATATTCAATTGCTCGATTATTAATGATCTTGATCTTGTAGGGCCACTTCTTCCATATCCCAATGTACCATACCATGAAAACTCAACGCATTCGTCTGGAAACTTTTTGATCACATTGCTGAGCTGATGATAGTATTGAATACATACCGCTTCGTCATTGTTATTGACTTGTTCATTTTTCAAATTGCTTATGTTATTTCTCAAGTTCCTTATTGCCCGAAGGTCTCTATCAAAATTTGATGATGGCTGAAAATACTCCTTCTTTATAATATTTCTCAATTCATTTCCTAAATCTATAATATCAGTTTCACGATACGGAATATATAATAGATTTGTATTCATATCTCTTTTATCTAGTCGAATATCTACATTAATACAAATTTATTCTTTTAGCAATAAAATCAATCTCTAAAAATGATGAAAAGCAGTTGTGCATTAAGAGTCGTGTAAATTATTAATCTATATACTATTTAAGTCCTACGTAACATCCTAAGTTTTTCTTCGAGTAAGTGTTCGTTATCAACGAGATCATCTACTAATTCATGCAAATATTTGGATCTTAAGTCTATGCTTATTTCTTCGTTCTGTAACATTTTTGTGTATCCCTTCAATTCAATATCCGCTCTATTCAATTCATTATAGAGAGTTTCAATATTTTTTAATGCATTGTTTTCTCTGTAGTTGAATGCTGAAATATTTATGTTTGTAGATATGGAATTTTCGATAGACGAGGACTCGGACGACAATTCATGCAATTTAGAAATGATTTGCTCGGCCATTTCAAACGTTTTTGAGAGATGTCTTGATTTTGGAGAAATATTGGCAGCTTCCGTTTTCATAAGTTCTCGTGAAATTTCATTATTAACTACGTCAAAAGATTCCTCATCTAAATCATCGATTAAGCTAGTCTTAAATGTTGGATCCTCATACTTAGCATAGTCTGAATTTAGCAAGGCTCGCATTTCATTAAATATTAATAGATCTAATTTGGAACACTTAGATGTATCGATTTGTTGTAGTGAGGAAGGTTTAGGAATGGGTAGTTCTCGCTGTACAGCTTGAGATCGCCTGAGCTTTGCTTTTTCCTCATCCACTTGACGTAAAATTTCTAGGTTTCTTAGTCTTTCACCTTGATCGACTCGACTGTCAGTAGACATTTCGTTAGACGTCGCTATTGGCTCCTCATTGGGATCATAGCTCGGTAAGATGATTCCAGTATCATTATGCGGTTTTGGCAACTTTGCAAAATAGCCTTTTAATAAATTTAATACAGACTTCTTCCACTGAGACTTGAGCTTAGATGACGGAAGTTCTTTTGATAATGTTTCTTTCTTTATTTCAGGTATATCTTCAGCTAATAGACTTGATTTCGTGGCTTGATTTCTCTTTAATTCTCTTGTTGCTTTCAAAATTCTATCATCTATACCTTCTTGTATAGAATCTTTCGTTGTTATATCAGAAATATTGTTTGATCCTAGCTCCTCTGTAGTCGGTTGAGTATCGAAGGAATTTTCGGGGACTGGCAAGTCTAATTTTCGCCTTTTTAGTATCTCTTGTTCACGCTCATGAAAGACTTCTGCTGCCGCCTCCAAACTCATCTGAGCTTGTTTTGCACCATCATCCTTAGATTTCTTGGCTTCCTGTTTTTTTTTCTTATGTTTTTCATCTACTTCTTTTAACGGTATTCCTTCTTTAGCAACTCCTCTCTCAAATTTAATCCTTTCAAGGCGATTTGCTTCATTTTCTTCGTCAACTTCATATAAACCAGATTGGGGTTCATGTTCATGCGGTATGTCGGCATTATAATCAAACTCTTGTCTTCGTTTCTTATTCTTTGACTCTAAACTCACTTTCATGCCAGCAGCTTTCAATTCTCTTCTCTTTTGCAACAATGAAATTCTCTTACTCTCTTCCAACATTCTTTCTCGCGCTTTTCTCTTAGCCTTTTTACCTTGTGTATTTGCCAATCTGGCCCTCGCTTCGCTCAACATTTCCTTTTCTTCATCATCCATATCTTCTTCGTCAGGCTTGGCTGGCTTACTTTCTGGGTTTATATTCAAATCACCAACATGCGACGTACCAGTAGCAGGCAACGATTCAATACCTGGCCCTGATAATCTCAAATCATTTTCATCACCTTCAATTCCTACGTCGTTAGTGTCTTCTAACAAGTTTTGATACCTTTCAACGCAATGAGTAGCTGTGCGCCCTATAATAGGAGCGATACTTCTCCATTGATTCGGTAATAACTTTGCCAAACTCAACAATTTCTCATCTTCCTCTCGTGTCCATTCTGATTTGTCAATATTAGGATTAAGCCATTCATTCCACCTCGCTTTTGCTTGTTTGGCAGATTTTTTGGCAAGTAAAGATGCAACCCTCGACCATTGATTTAATCCATATTTTGAAACAGCAGCTTTCAAAATTTCATCCTCAACGTTTGTCCATACACCACCTTTTACGTATATGGGCGGCATAGTTTCTGTACCTATTTATTGTAATATAGCGTCTCTTCTTAGGTAATAGATAAAGATGCCCTTCTTATGATTTTATAACCATTACCGAAAAATTCGCGGCCCCACGTAATCGCAAGAACATGAAAATATCATATCACCATAACAAATTTACAATTATTTTCACGACCAGAGTAACCTGCTAATCAAGATGCCCATATTTCGTCCTAAGCATCAGAAATTGATATTACAATGCTATCCACCAGGAAAAGGTGTTGATAAGAAACCAAATCCTTCAGAATTAAGCTATTTATTGTATTATGCATCCACTCGTCGGGTTAAGTTAGAAAAAGTAGTTACATTTTTAGATCGCAAAACTACATCAGACGCTAAACATAACAGGGCAGGCAATCTTCAAGTGACATTGACTATTATTTCATCATTGATAGAAGAATGTTCGGAGAATTTGAATGTATTTGCTTCATTTGTTTGCTCCATTTTGAAGTCCGTTTTACAAAGTAAGGATTTATCTTTGTGCAAACATGCGATTCAGACATATGGTGTTTTATGTTCCAAGCTAGATGGCGGCTTATTTTCGGGGGATAAGGAGTTTGTTGACTCGTTCGGTAGCTTGTCTCAAAAATTAATAAACATTGGTAGCGAAAATCTGAAGAAACTAGGTCCAAACAATCTAGAATGGCAAATGATATCGTTAATGACATGCCGATATCTTTCTAATTGCTTGGGATATAATAGTAAATTTAGTAAGAAATTCATTGAAATTTGTATTCCTATATTAACTGAGACGGTGCAAGCAAATAACAAGCAATCGAACCTATTGGCTATTTTGAAAAGCAATGTTAACATTGAAGATGAGAATCACCATCTAGGGAGAATTGCGCTGACTAAGACTAATCAAACAAATAGAAAGATCCAACAAGATTTAGACAATGATGCAGTAAAGGAAAGTGATCTTAATGAAGAAGCATTGCGAGGCTTGAAGGCATTATTCAGTACGTCGTTAACTAGTCAGATCTCTGAAGCTACAAGAGCTATTGTCAAGAATAATTATGCAACAACAACAGACCCTATTTGGGGGTGTACATTTTTAGAAATGTGTACGACTTGGATACCAGTTCAGTTAAGATTCATTACATTGTCTACAGTTTTGTCGAGCCTAACTTCATTATCAAATAAATCTACCAAGAAGAATTCTAATTACGCCATACAATTATTATATGCGAATTATTGTTTAGGATTGGTATCATCGGATGTTAATATGATAGGGTTATCAATCTCGGATGTTATTCAACAAATTTTATCCTTGCAAGCCAATCTATTATTATCTCAATCTCATTACTTCCAAGAAGAGGACGTTAAAAAATTATCTATGATATATTCCAATTGTATTTGCAATTTGTCGACACATATATATTACTTTGATCAAGTACCAGATTCTATCAGGGAAATTCTAATCAAGGTCGTATCTGTTCTAGAGAATTCCGTTATTTCGGGGGATGCAAATAGCTCTGGGGTTTACAGGTTCATTATTACGTTGCTTGAAGATATTTCCATTATTTTTGATTTACTTCAAACAAAACCTAGCAATATCAGTAGAAATCATGTTACTTTGGAGGACTGGGACCTCAGCTTGATCCTATTATCGTTCGATATTGGACTCAATCCAACCAAGGATCAAAAGGCTTTGTTTTCCTATGAACAAATTACTGATATTCAGTTCAAATATTTGCGGGTTTTCGGGTATTTTTTGAACAACGAATTAGTTACAAGGAATGAAAATATGGAAACTGGTGCAATTAACAGTATTGAAAGTTTTAACGTGGGAGGAGACTATTTACAACCTGATTATAACAATTATATTAGTGATCCAGGCAATTTTATTGCCCATTTCTTGAGTTATGTTGATAAATTCTTTTCTGGACAGTCTTTGGTTGATATCAATAATGCAAGCCTCCTCCAGAAAATATTAAAAAACATGATATCAATATTAGGCATAAATTTTATCAATAATTTCGTTCCATTTTTCTTCTATTGGCAATTACCACTTAATCCAAATTTAGTGGACGAGAATACGAGAGTAAAAGATACATTGGGATATACTAGCCTATACCATTCTCTTATAAAAATGGATGAAATATATGAACTAGACTACGTTAAAGAGTCTGAGTTTTTCAATAGTTTGTTGGGAGATATTAATTACAGAAAATTAAATAAACTATGGGTCAATGGTCTTCAATCTAAAGAAGAAGATGCTGTTTTAGATAATCATCATGCACTTGGACATATAGATGAAAATGGCACCTTGAAGTTTAATCCTACAAAAAAGAACTTGGAAGATTTTGTAATTGGAAATGCGTTTACATTGTCTTGGATTAATCCTCATAGACCTTTAATTTTGGATATTGATAACAATTACATTCCAAAGAAAGAAAATAATCAAAACGTTTTACCTGACATGTCAGATGAGTCCTCAATTATTGAAAATCTGAGTTATCATACGTCGGCAAGACAGAATGGGTTTGGACTAGGATTAGGTAATGCAAATGACATCTCATCGATTCATTCAGGATTATTATTTCATCAAAACCATAATATTAATATGAAAAATGCATTTTCAAATGGAAACGAAACTTCCAATGGGTCGATTTACACCTCAGATAGACAATATAACACACCTCGTGTATCTGACTTAAAAGATAGTGTTCTAATGAAAAAGAAACCAGGGGTTGTCTTCAATGAGCATTATAATTCCGATACCACTCCCGGGTCTATATTGTCGAAACAGATGGTTACGTCCGATATTGATTCAATTCTAGAAGGATTAGATATTGACGATGACTCTGAAATTATTGTATGATTTTATGCATTAAACTTCGTATCATCACAGTCTTGTAATTATGTAATTATATTTATTCCATTAAACCGCATGCTATTTAGATGAATTCTTTCGCTTGGGCGTATTTACATACTAACTGTATTAATATTACTTATATTAAATCCTTAATGTACACTATAAACTAAATCTTCTCAATCATTTCTGGTGTAGAAGGCAAGGGTCCAACAATTTTACTAATAATGAAATTATTCGTCGTCACTGTCATCTCCGTCACCCAAAGCTTCGAATGCATTGAACGTGTTAGTGTGCTTCTCAGCAATAGCATCTCTTGGATCCACTGCTTTAGAAGAGCCCAAATTCTTGTTGTTTGGCTTAACTTTGACATCCTTGATACTCTCTCTGAACTTGTTTCTTTCTTCAACACCATCTTCAGCACCAAATGACTTCTTTGGCTTGGTTAAAGTGGCCCATCCATCGTCGTCGACCTTGATGGCATCAGTGCTCTTCTTTCTTAAATTAGGCTTGTTACCTGAACGAGACCCTCTTCTTTTGTTCATGTGGTGGTATGGTCTTTCGTTACCATTCTCGTCGATATAAGTGTCTCCATTGCTCCATTTAAGATTTTTGTGCTTTTCGAATTCGGCTGCTGCATGTTCTTTGACATGGTCAACCATCTTATTAAACGCATCTAAAACATCTGGTTGAGGGGTGTATGCCTCTTCCTTAATTTCGTACAATTGCTCTTCAGTATATTTGGCCATTTTCTATCCTTTCCCTATCAATTTAATACACTAAATTATTTGGTTTAACCTTAATATATGTTAGTATTGTGGTTCTAGTTCAACTAACTGTTCTTCCATATTGTTCTTTTGTTGAAAAAATTAAAAAGCTTTGGTGTGGCGCACGACGTTTATGTCACGCGATGAACTTCTGAAGATTTTTTTATATACAGTCCAAAGCTCATCACCGGCGATGAGTTCTACCCATACATAAAATTTTAGATTTTAACGTTGATAGGGAACGGTAGTTTTGGCCGACGGAAACTATAGAATAACGGTGAAAAATGCCTTTAGCACATAACTTGAACAAAGTGACAAAGAATTTGTCCAAATCTACAGGGCAGATGCACGTAAAGGGGCGTAAATTCAAGCAATTGAATCGTGCTACTTTGAGGGATCAGAAAATTACTACTAAAAAATTGAAGCACCAGGAACAGAAAGATAGGGAGCTTGCAGGGATCCAGTTTATGAAGGACCGTGTGTATGAATATCCGGATCAGGAGGTATTTCTGTTGGAGCAAATGAAGTCGTTTATTGAGGACTACATAGGAAGAAATGATGAAGAATTGAAACAATTGAAAGACCAAAGAAGACCAGGGAGACCTGCCACGAGCCGTCAACTGCAGTTAGAGGTTGTGATTGGTGATGAAAAACAATTGTATGCAACGGGTTTCAAGATACCTGATTTGAGTAATAAGGAAACCGTCGAGAGGGTGAAGCTTTGGAATGGAACAAGCGGTGGTACCACGGTGATGAAATTTATTCATGTTTCTAAAGATATGAAAGAGCTTCCAGTTAAGGAAGAAGTCATGAAGGATAACTGAAGTTTTGTAGAAGACAGATTCAATTCGTGTATACTAGATTTAATAACATATTTATTTTAACATAAATGTAATGTAACTAAGCATATGTAAATGTTTAAAGTATATACCGGTACGAATCAGGCCAATTCCAATATCCAGATCGGAATATAACCAAACGAATTCGCTGTAAGGCATAATAAAAATCAATATTCGGTGAAATTAAGGATAGTCTTACGATGACTACTTAGTACACCAAAGCAACTTTTTCCAGGTCGAAGGGTTTTCCTGGGACGTATTTCTAATACCAAGGTTGTTACCTGCTTCCTTATCTACGTCATTATTAGATGTATGGCTTTCCATAGGTGTCGAGACATCAATCGCGGCGACACTTCCATCATCAAGCCATAAGTTAAGTGACACCAAAACAAGGAATACTGCTCCAGTGGTAGCAAATATAGTTTTAATTCTCGCTAAATATACATCCTTTTTCGCAGTCTTATTTCTAGTTAATACCAACATTTTTTCATTCTCACCACCGCTGCCACCACCGATCAATCTCCAATTGTTCTTTTGTAATTTATTAAC